TCTAAAAATACATATTAAACATTGTTTTTAACTCTACTGTAAAAAAGTCGAAGGCTTCATTCTCTTTCTTTATTAGTAGGAATAAATAGTATGAAAATTTGCCTGTATTTATATGAAAATTCAACCTTACATTATGCAAATATCGCAAATGATTTTTACATTTCATGTTCTACGGGCTTTATGTAAATCAATATAGCGACTTTATGCCAACTGTTCATTGGTCCAGTGGTCTATACGCCTGAGTTGAAAAAATCCATGTGGACAATTATACACGCACACGTACATTATTATTTAAATAAATATTAAAAATATATAAAAAAATAATAATAATATATATAAATTTAATTATTTATAATTGTACGATTTATTTTAATATTTTTCTTATTACTTTAAATATTATAAAATACATACCTATATTTATGTTTTTTTTATTAACTCAAGTACTTCTCGCAATGATTACAATTTTCTTTTTTTAAATGCTTTCTTGATTAATATCATTAATAAATGCTAATTGCTATATCTTTTTTTTTACTTTCCTCCCTCCGTCTACTTATCCTTCACTTTTAATTTTGTCTGATATCCGTTTTTCACACACGCACGCACGCACGCACGCACGCACGCACGCACGCACGCACACACACACACACACACGCACACACACACTATTTCCTAATTTTTTTTATTTGTTTTTTTTTAATTTTTAAATATATGTCATGACAATTCAAAATATAACTAGCATAAACTTTTGCAAATTGCGTACTTAAAAATAATTTCCAATTAACGTTTTGAAAATCATTTAAAAATTTGCTATAACAGCGAAATATTTGTTCTAATGTTATAAACATTTTAAATGTGTTGATGTTAACAAAACATAAAAAAGCCGGATAAGGAGAGGCAATCTGCCCCCGCGCCGATCATGACCATTAATTTTTTACAGTTTAGTTGCTATCAATATCAGTTACAATTTTATCAAACATTAGCCCTTAATATTCAACCGTTGGGGTGTGAGAAATAAAAATCAAAATTTCAAAAAAAATTTATATCTATTAAACGACTCAATCAATTTTCATTAAAAAAATATATGTATAAATATATGTAAAAATATATGTAAAAATATATTGTAGACAAGATACAGTTGTAAAAAAATTTCGAAGATTTTTTGAGGCCAGAAACATTGCAAAAAAAAATAAAATATTTTTATTTATTTTTTTTAGCTATCTTATCGGTCTTGTACTACCACAAAAATTTTGCCGTAAAATTATTAGATGCTATTCTA